TAGGTTGTTTCTGCAATCTAACAACAAATACACCCATCATGTGGTAAAAGCTACTTTACTTTTTAATTCCTTGATGAGGAACCATAAGCCACTCCGCTGCAAAAAAAATTATTACTTTAAGTGTTTGTTTCATTAGCTATCCTAAAATCACTCAGATTTTGAATTACAGGCTCATAAAAATAGCAATACTCATAAAAATTATAGTTACCGAGGTCATTAATATTTGGGATTGTGGCCGAGACGGCTAGAAAACGAACACGGGATAGAGGACTGGTTTTCATTTCGGGATTGCAAGAAAGAATTTTGATTCGGCTAACTACAGCCTCCAAAGCTGCTCCACGAGGATCATTCAACAAATGAACTTCATCAATAAGTACCAGAGCAATGTCACTGAAAAAGCTCAGGCCTCCATCTTTAATGCGATATCGAGTCACTGCATCAAACTTCTGGATAGATCACAATGCGTTTATCAATGAGTATAGATCACGATAGTCATAAAGGAATCAAAGCATAAATGATAAATGAAATGTCAACAACATTTGACCTCAGGAGTTGTAAGAATTATGTCAGCATCCACAATATCCTTATTGTTGTAGTACTCGTTATCCCCTGTAAGCTCTAGGCAAATTATTCCCCATGAACCAAACTTTTGGTTCCAATCCCTCAGTTTCTCTTGCACCAAAGCTTTGGAAGGTGCAATATAGATCTTTACATCACAAGAAAGAACACAAAAACACTGAAGTTATATGATGTTTCAAGGAAGGGGCAGTGTACTAAAACAGATAACTGCAATGATGTCTGCACCTAAACCGGACAGCATACTAGGAGCACAACTAAGTTAAATCAAAGTACTAGTTGGGGTGAAAAAACATGGTTTTTGGAAAAGTAAGAATAATAAAACAAAAGACTTTGAACTGAGTCGATTTATGTAACTTACAGTCTTCAGAGACCCCTTGGCATGTACAAATACACCCTCAGTGGATATGAATCTTGAGAGAAGCCTCAAAATGCATAGTTCAAAAAGTACTGTTTTCCCACTTCCGGTAGGTGCAGAAATAACCATGTTCACGTCCGAAAGGTAGCAAACAGGAAAGCATTCACTCTGCAAGGAGTTAAAATACCTGCACATCATCAACACCATCATCATTGTCAGCACCTTAATTTCAACTAGGTTCTTCAGTGGCATTAAATTTACAGTGGTACAAAGTTTATAGTGCCATATAAGTTCAATACAAAAGCATAGCAGCAATGTTTTATGGTGGTTGCCGTTCCTGTTGCAACCTTCAAGAGGAAAAATTTTTATATTGCTTTTTTGCTAAGAAACATGTATGTATAGCTCAATATTTCCTATATAGTTGGGAGATCCAGTTGGGAAACACATGATTTAGTTAACAGTAAAGTGGTAGATATTTCATTTATAACAGTATAAAAAACTAGCAAATAGAGATAAGTTAGAAAATTGAAAATCAGTACGCCCCTCCCTCTCCTCCAAAATTCCCCAACCATTTTTAAATATAGAAATTGGCAAAAACACAAATAGATTACTCTGGTGGAGCAAAAATGGTTTGACTTCACAACTATCCCTGCTGCCGTGCTCATTGAAAAACTGTGAATACAAACCCTAGCTCTAAAATAGATGAAATGGTTGGGTGAATTCAGAACACGCGCAGAGTGGAGGACATATTAACAGATTCTCAAACATGAATCGTTCTGAAAAGAGATATTAGCCTGAAGCAACCGCACACAATAAACCGACCAATTTCAACATACCTGAAACTGAAAACTGAGCGAAACAGATCAGGCAAGTCAAGCACGGACTTCAGTGAATAAGCATCCATTGCACCGACTATCTATACATCAACTAAAAACTCCAGATGTTCCCTGGATCGGCCTCTATTCACACTGCAAATCATATATACAAAGGAAATTGATGAGATTTTCTGAGAAAATTAGTCTAGTAAATGCGATATTTACAGAATTGACCAAATCAATCGGCCGCTGAATCACCTGCGGTAGTTCACGACGGCTGAGATTTTGCGACTGAAGATGCCAAGGGAGAAAAGTCAGAAAACAAATTCAGAGCTAGATTCCGGTGAAAAGGATTATGCCGGCGATGGTGCCTGGGAAATGTGCTTCAGAGGATTAATTAGATCATTGAAATTTGAAAGGAGAAGTTTGTGAGCTTTCAAAAATATGATTCATGTTCTTCTCACTTCTTCATTTAAACAGCTAATAAATCGTCTATACTGGTTCGGCCGTTACTTTGGCGGGCAACGGGAAAAATTTGCTACCAAGCGCTGGGATAAGAGTATAAGAGAAATGAAAGTGGCCCACAAAAGTCAAAAAAATTGGCAAATTTATCATTTATGAATACAAAATTTTGTTTTTTTAATTATTTAAAATCATTTTAGTTTCTTAATAAGGTTCACAAATATTAAATTTGTAAATTATGTGATCATTTTGTTTGCAAAATGTAACCTCTCTCCTTAGATATGTGCTTGTTTGCAATAAGACGTCGGTGTTCTCTTCGTCTATCACATTCAATCTAATTTACATTTTTAAAAGTTTGATACTAATTTAAATGGAATAATCTGATTGAAATTAGTATTGTTGTTGTTGTTCTCATCATCATCATCATCATCATCATCAGTATACTACTACCAAAAAAACTTCTTCCTGATTTTTCTAACTCCTTACAATTTCTTCCAACTCCTATTTTTTCTAACTCCTTCGAGTTTCTTCCAACTTTGAATATCTCCCAACGTCCAATTCTGTTTTTCTAACCGAAAAGAACCGAGTCTAAAAATTATATTATACGGAGTACATTAATAGAATGAGATATTTTTTTTCTTTAATTGATGATCTAAATTGGTTCACCCCATGGTCCCAAGCTACTCTATATTCAGTGCTCGAGCTCCACCCCTACATTTAGAAGATTGTTTTATTGAACAGATACTACATTGATGAGTATCATAGATAATACTTTCATTCTAGTGAATCTTTTGATGTAATTTTTGACATTTATTGTGTATTAAATTTACATCAATATTTCAATGAATAAAATCAAAACAAACTTCATTTTAACATATCATAAACAAATACTTTTATCAAATTAATTTAGAAGTTAAAAACCATCTTATTTATTGGTTGAAAATATTATTATAAAAGAAGAGAATAAAAAATTTCGAATTGGGAAAGGATATCATCATTAAAATGAATGTTTCGTTTGCATACTTAAATTTACTCAAAGATTTCATACCAAAATATTGATTTTTTATTTTCTATATTTTAAATTTAGTGGCATATAAGACTATTAGCCTATTAGGTGTCAAAATAAATATTAGCTTTATTTATTGGTGAAGAAAGTAATTTATTTATTAAGTGTCAATATTTAAATAAATTTAATCAAAATATTAATTTCAAGTAAATGTATAATAAACACTTATTAAATTTATTTATAAGTGAAGAGAGTATTTTATATATTATTCTAAAAAAATTTTATAAATGAAGAGAAACAATATAGAATTTGGAAAGAATATTATTATAAAAAAGAATGTTTTTTTCCATATTTATATTTACTCAAACATTTCTTACCAAACTTTTGATTTTATATTTTCCATATAAAAATTATGTGACATATTAGGTGTTAAAAAGACAAGATAAAAATGATTTTCTTTTCTTTTTATTCAATTCATAAATTGGGCTGCATAAAAAAGCCACATAAGTAATGACACATGTTAGCTTTTGGTAATGCCACTTGTCAGCTTTCAGCAATGCCACATGTCAGCCTTTTAAAGTTTGGAGTTGTAAATTTATCTATAAAGGATTATTTGTATGTTATCCACAACTTATTTTAGTTTATTACTTCTCTAAAAATGATTGTATAAATTTGATCACATGTGCATATTTATTAATAATACTTTGTTTCAAAAATCATATCTTATTACATTTTTTATTTTATTTTATTGCTACACATATTTTTTCAACAAGGTGAATAGAATAAAGTTAATTTAATTAAACCGAGAAGTGACATTATGACACACATACATTGTCTAATGATGTATCATTATGTAACTAATCCTCTTTTTGTTATAATATTTTATTAATTTAAACCATTTCTATTAGTACGTAATTCAATGACCATTAATTTTGTATATTTTTTTTGTTTTTAAATTAACATACCAATATATATTCTATCAGTCTAAAACAAATTTTGTCACTATTAGAAAACTAAAACAACTAAAATTATATGTATAGAATTTCAAAAGTTTAGAATATATACGAGCATGTGCGAAGCACGGGGTTAACACTAGTGTATGTTTGTATAAAAATGATTTACTCAGATATTTCTTGTTGAGAATTTTTGACATATTATTCAATTTATTAATATACAAAACGAATTGAGAGTAATTGAAGATTAAAATTTGTCTAGTCTAACTCAAAAAAATCAAACTGAATGAATATAGGGAGAAAGGCCAAAGTAGTACTAAAGCATTGAATATATACCAAAATAGGACTTCCGTGTTTTTATTCCGGAAATAGGACTTACATTACCAAACATTGTTATATACGGAGTACATTACCAAAAAACTATAGTAATGTGCACATGTATAGTGGCACATTACCACAGTCCACAGTGTAAAGTCCTATTTTGGGAAAAAATGAAAATTCTATTTTGATATTTTTTCTATGTTTAATCCTATTTAGGGTGATTTCTAATGGATATACTAGAACAAAGATTATTAATTCAATTCAATTGAAAAAGGAAAATGCTAGGGATACACCAAAGGTGTACCCCAAATGCCCCCACTCCCTCATTGTCCACAAAAATAGGAAAGAAAATTCAAAAAAAAAAGTAAATAAAAAGCAAATAAAATGAAAAATTATGGAGGGAGTGAGAGACATTTGGAGTACACGATTGGTGTAAAGGTGTTTCCTAGCATCTCCCATTGAAAAACTCAAAACTCAAATCCCAAAAGGAAACTAAGCTTGTCACGAGCTGGACTCAGCGAACTCTTATTCAACACTCTTTGAGGTATTGGATAACATTTCCCCACTGAAGAGCACAAAGCCACAGAGAGACCTCGAGGCGCCATGGCTGCTCCGTTCAAATCTATTCCTTTAATTGGTATGAATTTTTGTTTATTCTAAAATATAGCTGCTCTATGGAGTTATTCCTTGTTTAGTTCTATCGAGCTCTTATTAATGAATCACTCCATCCCATGAAAATAGTACCCCATAAAAGTAGTCTTCTTTCTCAAATGTTTCTAAATAATAAAAGTACGCCAAACAAGTTGAATATGTGAAATATAGTAAAACTAAGAAGTAAATTTGAAGATATAACTATGTTTGATGATTTTCACTAGCTGTACTATACCAAAAAAATAGATTGGAGAATTAAGATTCATTTTATGGGATTAAAGGAGTAATATATACTGGTAATTGAATTAGATATCTTAAATCTATGATTGGGTGTTGCTAAATCCACCCAAAAATGGCTATATCCACTCTCAATTGCATTTGCTAAACCCACACCAATGTCAAATTTATATCAATGGGTGTGGATTCAGAAAATTTAGGAAAAATGTGTGGATATAGCCATTTTTGGGTGGATTTGGCAATAGCCTTTATGATTTTATCTGAACTCATTTTTAAGGGAAAAAGAAGACTATGTTTGATCTGAAAAATTGGTAGAGCATCGAGTCCCTAGGCCCTTGTTTGGTTAAAAAAGTGGAGGGAAGGATAGGAGAATTTCAGAGCAGAGAGAAATGAAAGAGTTTTAAAAGATGTTATGTTTGGTTTAATGGAAAAGTGAGAAAGAATTGTTATTTTTGAATTTTTGTGTCGCAATTTAAAACTGAAGAAGAAATTAAGAAAAAAGACTATTCCTCCAAAATACCTGGAGTGTGTTTTGGGGAGTTTATGACTTTCATGGTTTCTCTACTATACCTCCCCTTCCCTCCCAACTCTCAAACCGAATACACAACAATCCTCCACTTGCATCATCTTCATTCCAAATTCCTCCAACCTAACAACAACCCACTAGAACCCACAGGGTATGTGTATGCAGACCTTACTCTCTAAAATGTAGGAAGGCCGTTTCAAGGTGTTTCTCTTAGAGGGGTGTGAGCGATCTTGCTCCCAAAGCGCAGTTTCAAGTAAAATCCTATCCTATTAGGTGTTTGCCAGCCGTAATGTTATGGGAGCGTTTTAAAATAGAACTAACAATTCACTATTACACTAATATCATGAAGCAATAAATTTAAAATTGAGTTTGAGATTTTTTTTCGTTTTGTGGTTATTGGCCAGAGTGCCATACTATCATTTAACAAACGTATTTGTTCCTTATTTATTACAATATAAAAATATAAAACAACAACAACCCAATTAGATCCCACAAAAGTAAGGTCTGGGGTAGGGTGTGGGTACACAAACCTTGCCCGGCTCAAGCTGCACGGATAAAAAGATCATAGGAGAAACATAAAGCAGAACTAACATAGATAAAGCATAAAGCAAGAAGCACACAGAGGTAAAGAACAAACTACAGATAATGAAGAAAGAGTACTGCAATAAGAAAGCACCAAGCATACGAGTCAAACAAGGCACACAAGTGTAGAAAACTACCCCTAGCCCGAGGCACCTACCCAACTACTTTAATCCTAGCTCTCCAAACGCTCCTATCTAAAGTAATATCCTCAGTAAGGGCAAGAAGTCCCAAGTCCTATCTAATCACCTCTTTCCAATTCTTCCTAGGTCGACCCCTTCCCCTACTCCCCCCACCAACGTAAGCCCCTCATATCTCCGTCCGTACAACCTCATACTAGCTTCCCTCAAGAGCCATGTCTACCTGACTTCGGATAATCTCGTCTGCCCATGCATCCTCCGTAACATCCGCATCTCGGCAACATGCAATTGACGAACGCGGGTTTTCATAGTTGCCCAGCCGCCCCATACAACATGACTGGTCTAACTACGGAAGGTAGAACTTACCTTTTGTCCTAGCCAAAATTTTATGATCGCACAGCACCCTGAAGCCAACCTCCACTCAGACCACGCCTCTCCAACACGACGCGCACCATCCCAGTCCAACTCCCCATCCTTTTGAATGACCGAGCCAAGATACCGAAACTTGCCTACCTTGGGCACTAGCTAAAACAACATTTCATTTTATTGTTTGATCCATTGCGGGTTTCGTCGATAAGCACACTATCATCAGCAAAAAGCGTGCACCACGGGACCTCTCCTTGAACTCCTCATGTCAGGACGTCCATCACCAGAGCGAACTAGAAAGGGCTGACACTAAACCAAAATATACTTTTGGGCCAACACGATTTCAAATAAAAAACATTTTTTTTCAAATACAACCTTCTTTAACTACAGAACACGATTTCACTTAACAAAACACATCGAGATTAATGTGTAACACTAACGTTGGTTTAGTTTTGATCCGCTAATAGTTACTCACTTACTCCGTATTATGTATGGTTTCTAATATACTCTTTGAATATGAGACAGATGTAAGTCCTCTTTTGGACAAATGGGATCATCCGAACATGTCTCAAGATCAAGGTGTGGTTGAAGTAGTTAGACAGCTAGATCAGGCTTGTAAAGAGACAGGATTCTTTTACGTGGTAAATGTCTTTGCTGCCTTTATCTTGCTCCGTGAGATTTTGGCGTAGACTTATTGTTGGCTTTGTTTGCAGAGCTTATTTCTGATCCATAAATGATAAAACTCTAAGCTCTTTTTGATAAGATAAATATGAGCTTAACAAGCCTGTCACTGACTCATGAACACAGGGTGAGGATTGAGGTGCCAACTTGCCTTCACAACAACTACTCGGTTAGGCGAATGCCTAAGGGATAATATGATGACCTATATCTAATCCTCCCTCTGTTCCTTCATACCCTGCATAGTTTGACTTGCACATAGATTAAGAACAAACAAAAGTAGGGTGTTAAATTGCGTGCACTTTTTTAATGAAGAGAAATGGAATAAATTAGGTGGAAATATGAGCAAGATTGTATTAAATGTAATGGTCTTAGAAGAGAGAAGTATGCAGATTTTTGGATTAAGAAAAGAGTTATGAGAGGGTGTGAAAATGTATGCTATAGTTAGAAGATTTTGGATTTTTTTATTCCAGCAGGTAAGAATATTCTAATCATGGCAGACATCATATTCTACCATAACTCTTTTCGCATACCCCTACCATCAATCACATAAATCTGACTTCTAAACTACGGAAGAAAATAAATACAAATAATATAATACTTTGCTCTGCTAATTGCTCCGCCCCATTTTACAGCATTTTGTGTTCATAGCTTTTATTCCTTATCTTTCCCCAGCCATGCCTTTTGTACTTTACTGGTTACGTGATTCATATCATTGCTTTTCCATTTCTTGCAGAAAGGCCATGGCATTCCTGATTCTCTTGTGAAAAAGGTTAGACATATGTCACATATTTTCTTTGATCAACCACATGACACAAAACTCAAGATTAAGCTCTCTCCAGAAACTGGATACAGGTTGTTCCAATAATTCTTTTTGAAGCTAAGACTTGAATGTTTATGTAATCTTCACTACCATGTTCTTATGGTTTTATAATATGTCATTGGCAGAGGATATCAGTGGGTTGGACAGAATATAACCAAAGGCGTGCCTGACATGCATGAAGCTATTGATGTATGTTTTCTTAAGTGCTTTCTTGCCACCACCACCATTATTAGCTAACTAGGTCTTAATCAAGAACCTATGCAGAGAGAAATAAATTACTCCCTCTGTCCCAAAATAAACCTCATGGTTTGACTTCACGGAGTTTGAGAAAAATGTTGAGAAGTGAAGAGTGCATGGATAAAATTTGTTTTGAAGAAAGAGAAAATATTTGAGGTACACATTTCATTCCTTGACACAAAATAAGGAAAGTGTGAAGTTTATTTTGGGACAGACAGAAAAAGAAAGTGAAGTTTATTTTGGGACTTACGGAGTAGTTCATATTCTCTACTTCGAGTTTAGTTTGCTGAACTAGTTCACAATGTCACTCATTTTTTACATTTTTACCATAAGGCAAAAGGCGAGAGGCAGGCGAGAGGGCCTTTTTTTAAGGCGAAAGGCGAGAGGCGGGCGGCCAAAAGGCAAACTTGGGGCATACACACACATACATAAAATATATAGTGCAGTGCAATTAATAATGTCAATCCCCAGCAAGTCATACATGTTAAAGAAAACAATTAGAGTAGTTACTATACATGTTTCTCGAAAAAATGAGTATTTAATATATAGAAATGTATTAAAAAATGCCATCTCATTTTTTAAAAGGCCCATGGCCGGTAAGGTGAGAACGGCAAACAACTCAGGCGAGAAAGGCGAGAAAAGCGAGCGACTCAGGCAAGAAAGGCGGACAACGCCTCGCCTGAACATCTACACAAGGTATAAGGTCGCCCGGACGCATGAGGCGCCTTAGGCGAGGGAGGCGCTTGCCTTTCAAAACTATGATTTTTATAAAATTTATTCTTCTTATTTTTATCTATTTATAGCTGATTAAGAAGATGATGAGCTAAAGTGTTAAGACTGTTAACCAAGCAATGATGCCATGATGAGCCAAGTGATGATATCATGCTTTCTAAAAACTTCAGAGTATAACTAATCTCCATGCAACTATTCTTCAAAATTCTAAAACTTTCATTATCATAAACTAATTGAGTTGAAATATTTGATATTGTCATTTCCATACATGATTGATATTTCAAAACCAAGAAGCAAATCATGGAACAAGACCATAAGCTATTTTTGTCCCCTCTTTTTTATTTCGGGTTTTTTATTTCAAAAATAGGTTTCTTCTAAGCCTAGACCTGAGGGCTCTTTAAAAAAACATAAAAACATTTGGGTCTCAGGCCTTATCTAACATTATATGGCATCATTCTCACTTTTTAGTGTTGGTCCAACATATGTTTTTGATAGTATATACACAAGTTCTATAAGTTGAATCGTACATGCCAATGTTTTTGATATAATAATGCCCCGTCTCAAAATAAACTTCACACTTTCCTTTTCCGTTCATCCCAAAATAAACTACACACGCTCCTTATTTCTTTGTAAGAAAATGAATGTGTGGCTCACATAGTTTCTCTTCCTTCCAACAAATTATAACCATACACTCTGTTTTGTTGATCAATAGTTTTTTTCTTTTCTTTTCTTTTCCATTTTTATTTGGAGCTAGTAGTGCTATAAAGAAGTGCGAGATGGAATGTATGGAGACCTTGGAGAAGTTATGCAAGGATCTAATAAATGGTATGCTCACCTGATAATTACTGGTGCTCACCCCTATGCATTATTGAATTTTTTATAGGATTTTTTTTTTCAATCGTCCTTCCTTAATTTTTAAAAACATGCCAAGGTTGTTGTTGTTGTTTTTGGCTCAAGACTTTAGTTCACTGACTTGCAATAAAAGGAGAGAAGAAAAAAAAACAAAACAGTATTGATGCTCTCCATTCTGCAGGCCGAGTAACCCCCCAGATTTTGCAATATTGATGGAGGAATATATCAACTTTTGTACAGGTAACTTAATTCTTATAAAAAATGTTCGTTTCCTTACATGTGATGCTAGAGTGGGCCAAGTGGGTTTGCTGTGGTGCCGACCTCACTGAACCTTTTTAAATAGTATGTCAAGTAGAGCTTGCAAAAGTCTGTGGCCGGGCTAGTCACAGGCAACCCAGCCGAGAGGCTCTAACATTAACCTATAAGCATATTTGTCACGGACTCACGTCATCACTTAGGCAATGACTTGGTGTTCCGGCGGTATGGAACTCACGCCACGGAACTTTGCCATGCCTTGTCAAGGTTGGCGTCACGGCCATCGCCATAGGGACGCCTGGCTGTCCCGTGGGCTGCCAAAACACACCTCGCTATGGGGAAAGGAGGCTGATGGATCTGAGAATAAAAGACCCTAGCATATGGCCGCCAGATTTTAGATCCAAAAATCCTAGTGTATTGCTACCATCGCGACGTAGATCCGCTGGCAGAGGACATCACCGCTGCATCATGCGTTTGTCGCCGCCATTTCTTCCTTTCATTCTCATATTACTATGTTAGATCCCAAATGCTTGAAATGCATCTTCTAGGAAACTCAAGAGTCTGAAAAGGATATCGATGTTAATGTCCTAGTCTTGGTCGCTACGTTCTTTGGGGTGATGTTACTTTCCATGAACATGTACGATTTTCTTCACCGCCTGGGTAATGGGGAAGATGACGACAACATACTATTCTACTCTATCTCTAGTAATGATTATACGCCTATTAATGTTGTTCAGGTCTATTCTATGCGAAATAATCATCAATTCTTACACCAACCCAGTTACACATTTCCTCAAGTCTCACATACAATGATCGACTCACCACCCGCATGCGAGCCACTCTCATGTCTTGAAATGGACTTCGTCGTTGGATCAATGGATCATGATTGTGATGATGATCTTCCTGTCGTTTACATAAAGTTAGGCGATCTGGTGCCTTTCCTATCTTCACTTGTGTCTCATATGATCATTTGTTTCTCTGCTAATTGTTCTCTCACATCATCTCTAGATTCTGCTGCTCTTCCTAAAATTTTCAAAGAAACACTTTCTCATCATGGATGACACTATGAAACAATGCCATGATAGAGGAAATGAACGCCTTTGAACACAACTGCCAAGGGGTCTAACGGCTCTGCTATGTTTTCATATTTCTTAGATTTGGTTTGTGTGTTGTGGACATCAGAGATCTCTTCGGATTGGTGCACAATTTTGGATTCATCTTCTGAGTTTGGGGATTTGCCCAGAGCGATAAAAGATTTGTTTCACTTTCTTTTCTAGATTAACGAGTCTTGCATTAAATTAAAGTTGTGTTGCCGAAAGGGAGGCTATGGTGGAAGTCAGGTTTTCTATCTTGGCATGTTGAAGGATTTAACCATTTTAACGGAAGTTTGGAGCGCGCCTCATCTGCGGAGGAATTTGTACCATGATGTGGACATTAAAACTTGATGATATGCATTATTCAACGAGATCAAGGCGATGTGTCAACAGCGATAACGGAAGAATAGTAGGATTTAATAGAGGAATGAACGAGGGAAGCTTGTGTAATAGAGGAGTTAGTGAAGAATAGTATAATACTTCCCTTTGAATTTTATTTCAATGCATTATAATTTTGAATTACATAGAGTAATACTCGGTCGTATTTATAGAGCAATACTCCTAATTTAAAAAAGAAACCTGTAATATTACTCAAGAACAACGAATCGAGCTCAATTCCATGAGGGTAGGGTTTGCGGAGGGTGTGTGTAACTGTAATATCACTAATAGTAAGTAATGTGCCAAAAGAGGATTTGGAATTAATTTGGGAACTAAATTTACTTACTAAGGTTGTGTTTGGTTGGGTGTAAAATATTTGCATGAAGAATATTTTCCAAAGGAAAATGTTTTCTAAAAAAATTATTTTCCAATCATATTTTCTGTTGTTTGGTAGGAAGAAAAATATTTTCTCAAAAAAATCTTTTCTATTTTTACTCCACCCGTTTTTTAAAAAGTTCCTCTTTCACTTTTTTCTTTTCTTTAAAACACTTCCATTTTTCTAAATTTCAAAATTAGAATTTAAATTTAAAAACTAAAAATAAAATTTAAGTTTAAAATTTAAAATTTGAAATCTAAATTCTAAATTTAAAATTTAAACTTTAAAGTATAAAATATTAAATATAAAATTCAAAGTTTAGTACTCCCTCCGTCCCTGAATTTATGTCCACTTTCCTTTTGGCACAAAAACCAATGCATAGGCTAAAAAGTCAAAAATGCCCTTTATTTTGAGTCTCCTTCACCACCTGCAATCCTACTCAATCCAACTGGTCGCCGTGCAGACCATAATAATGGCCACTGCCATATTTGCCACCACGTCTCCCTTAGCCTAGCCGTGGATACACAGCCCCCCTCCCCACTGGATCGAGACACCCATCCCAAACTCCAACTTTTTACCAGCCAACCGCTGCAACACAACCACCCCAAATTCCCATCCCAAATTCCAAATAGCCACTGTACAAGCCCTCTCTTTCAGCCCAGTTGCGGCCGCACATCACAAATCCCACTGGCCCTCAGTCGCGCAGTTCGTTATTGCACAACTCATCCCACTGCCACCAAGATATAGTTGCAAGAAGACCAAAGAAGATCTGCAGATGCAGATGAAGGAGGAGGAGAAGAAGACAAAGTGGCATAGCTCAACAAAGAAGGATTAGATCTGGATAACTAGATTGGTGATGATTTGGGTGGATGTAAATGTATGACTATTCCGTATATGGCTGAGAAAGAAAATAGAGGGTGTATAAACGTGTTGGTGGAGGAGGGCAAAATAGACCTTTCATTTAAATTTTTTTACTTGAAAAGCAAAGTGGACAAATATTGTGGGACGGCCAAAAAAGGAATACTGGACAAATACTCAGGGACAGAGGGAGTATTTTGTATTTAATAGAGTAAATTCCATAAAAGGTCCCTAGTTATAGTCTGTTTTACATATTTAGTCCCTACATATCAAATATCAATAATTTAGTCCCCAATTATTATATTCTGTTCCACGAATGGTCCTTTGTCAACATTTTCGTTAAGAACATGGATAAAATTGTAAATTCACACTCCTTTCTCTCCTCAATTAAGCTTTCTCTCTCCTCTCACACTCCTTTCCCAAACCCGTCGCTGAGTTTGAAGTTTTGAGCCCAAAACCGAAAGCATCACTCTTCTCTCAATTGTTTGTCTTCTTGGTGGAACCCAAAATCGAAATCAGTAACCTTCATGGATGACTTTTAAGATTTATTTTCCTTGCAATTTCTTGAGACTAACCGATAAAACTTATCCATAAAGTTTATTGGTTTTGATTTTAGGCAGGAAGACTAACAATTGAGAGAGGAGTGATCATTTGAGTTTTGGATTTACAGTTTCAAACTCAGCGACGAGTTTGGGAAGGAGTACGAGAGGAGGGAGGAAGCTTAATTGAAGAGAGAGAGAACTGTGAATATATAATTTTATTCATGTTCTTAACGGAAACGTTTCAAAGTTTAAAGTTTCAAATTTAAGATTTAAAATTTGAAAATTTAAAATTTAAAAATTCAAAATTTAAACATTAAAAATTTAAAATTTAAAATTTTAACCTGAAAAGTGAGAAATGGTATTTGTGGTGGACAGAGGTGGGGGATGAAGCGGAAAGAGAATGAAAATTTTCCTTTGCTTTTTTAACGTAAACTGTTTTCCCTCCATTGAAGGAAAACATTTTTCCCTGAAAAATATTTTCCTTCCACTAATGTCACCAAACATAGGAAAATAGAATCAAAATTTTCCTGGAAAATATTTTCCTCCCAACCAAACACACAATAAATATAAGATTTCTTATATCTTCCTATTTCTTAATTACACCATATGTTTCATTATACTCGTTCCATTTTGAATTTAGTAGTCAAATTTGCAAAAAAGTATGATTTATGTTAACGATACATTATGTTATAAATGGAATTAATATCATTATATTCCCTTTGAAGTGTAGTTTTAGAATATACTGCATTTATTATATTTATTTATGGATAATTATTGATATTGATGCTCAAAATGTTACATTTGAGAGTTGGGACGGTAAAAGTTTGGCACCAAGGGAGTAGAATGATATATGAAAATACAACAACAACAAAGCCTTATTCCACTAAGTGGGTCGGCTACATGGATCAAACGACACCATTGTGCCTAGTCAGATATCTCAAACATCATATTTGTGGCAAGACCATTCACGCGTAGATCACTCTTGACTTCTTCGTGCCAAGTTTTCAAACCACCTAAGATGTGCTTCCACTATCTTTTTAACAATATGTGTCACTCTATTTTTTCTCTCATATCTTCATTCCTTATTCTATCCATTTGCGTATGACTGCTCATCCACCGATTCATATTCATTTCAGCCACACTAACCTTGTGTTCATGTTCACTTGTTGCTGCCCAACATTTTGTTCCATAGAATATGTCTGGTCTAATCGTAGTAAGATAAAATTTTCCATTGAGTTTTAAAAGTACTTTTTATCGCATATAAAGCCCGACGCACTACACCCTTTTGAAAAACCTCGAATCATGTGGTTTACATCATCCTCTATTTCTCCATTGGCCTGAATGATACACCCAAGATACTTAAATCTCTTCACATGTGGTATAGTATCTTCTCCAATTTTCACCTCAAGAGTAGCATTTCTCCTTCCGTTTCTAAACGTGCACTCCATGTACTTTGTTTTAGTGCTGATTTTACGCAAGCCATGCAACTCCAAAGCCAGTCTCATCCAACTTCTTATTTAAATCCCCCTATGATTCGCCCATCAAGATAATGTCATCAGCAAAAAGCATGCACCAAGGTACAGGTTCTTGGATATGCTCGGTGAGTACTTCTGAGACTATTGTAAAAAATATGAACTTAGGGATGACCCTTGGTAAAAATACATTAACTAATTATCCGAAATATAGGTTTGGCTGGTGGGCCCTTGTTACATCGCTTGTGGACTATCACATTTACCATTCAAGTAGGTGAGTCATGTATGCAGCAGTACTAATGTATATATCCCTTGCACGTATCACCTGTTCTTAAGTGTCCTACATCATATATTTACCTGACTTTTTGAAGTTCTCTTTCAGAAAGTTAGATCCATTTTAATGTAGTATCAGTGCTTGGTCCGATTGTGGTTTGCTTGCTTGTTTCGTTCCCCATGGTTTGGCAGCCCATTTAGGGTCAGATTAGTCCATATGTATACGATTTTGCTTGTCCAACTCAGTTTGGGTTGGATGTGGTATGTTTCCTCACATTTGAGTCTAAAACGTAAGTGTGAGGTCATGATCCTTTCAGTCCGAGTTAGATCCAATTTAATAAATGTTAATGTTATTTTTATCTCAAGAAATATTTGTCGTATTTGATGTAGCGCAGCTCTATCAAGAAAGATAATAAGGGGAATTGCTCTTGCATTGGGTGGATCAGTTGATGAGATTGAAGGGGAAAAAGCTGGTGATCCATTTTGGGTGCTACGTATTATAGGTTACCCTGGCAGATCCTGCTCAAGTGACTCAAATCTACCAGAAAATGATATTGGATGGTAATAGCTCTGTTTCTGTTCTGCTCCCTTATTATTTTTTTTTATGGAATGTCATTACTTATAGTAAGTAATCCTCTTCTATCATCTATGATTGCTTTGCTGTCCACGGGAAAACTAGTGGGGCTCATACAGACTATGGTAATGTTTCTGCTCTCCAGTTCAGGTATTATTTAAGCTTTTACTACGTTGTAAATTGGTTTTTCACTGTTCTCATTTTCTGTCGTACAGGACTATTAACACTAGTTAATCAAGATGAAGATATCACTGCCCTTCAGGTATTCATTGTAACTGTGAGAATTACATTAGGTATGCTAAATGATTTGCTGATAGATAGGTACTAGGGATCATCCATTGGCCCCTTCTAGATATCACAGTTCATCTACATTATCCCAATGTAATTTTATAGCTTATTTTTTATACCCAATCTTATTCTGATGACCATGTGAAGGTAAGAAACCGATCTGGTGAGTGGATATCCGCACCCCCCATCCCCGGCACGTTTGTTTGCAATATTGGCGATATGCTACAGGTATTTTTTTTAAATATATACCATCTTTTACAATTTTATTTCAATTCCCTGTGTAGTTAAGACCTACAAGGTAATGGAAAATCTGCAGATATTGTCAAACGGTCTGTACGAATCAACCTTGCACCGTGTCATCAATAATGCTCCAAAATATCGTGTTTCTGTGGCCTATTTCTATGAGGTTAGCTACTTAGCTTCATCATTTTAAAATTTGACATAACTAGTATTGAGTAACATTTTGTATATTTTCATTCCATACGCAGCCCAACTTCGATGCGTTGATCGAGCCACTCGAAGTGTGCAAACAGAAGACTGGTGGTCTGAAGAACTTTGAAGGAGCTGTTTATGGAAAGCATTTAGTTAGTAAAGTCACTACCAACTTTGTGGTGTGATTTTATTTGTTGTACATCCAATGGAGATGTGTGGCGTAAATTTTAATAAGTGTAGCATAACATTATCAAGAACCACTCAAAACCTAGTGTGTGATGGAATAGTAATCGAATGATAATTTGTGAATCGTGATGATGATGTTTATTGTTGTTGTTTATATTTCATGTTAACTGCCTAGGCAGTTCGTGTGATTCATTTTGTTGTGTTTGGGTCTTCAATTTTCTTAATGCGTTTTGGATCTAACTTTGGCTTCCTAGTTAGTTTTAGGCCAGAAGTAGATAATTAAACTTCCTTAAATTGGAAGGTTCATTTGACTAACTCTTGGATTGATTTCTATGTTTGCAGGTCAATACATGGTGTATAAGAAACCAACCACAAAGAAGACACTAAATTAGAAATGATGATGTTCTTACCTATGTCTATCAGGCTTGATGAGGATGACAAGGCAAGAAGATAAATACCAAACATACATTGATAATTACTTGCTGATATTGCTGTGACATAAGCATGCAGGTTCATCAACGGTGCCTGTGTGCATCGAGGGTTTTATAAGTTCTTGAGGATCCTCTCTTGAGCTTTTGCTGATGATGATAAAGCTCTTCCATTTTGGGAACTTCATTGATCTCACATGGCACGTACAACATGGATCTGGGGTCTGGGCATTTCCTGGCTTGCTTAAAGAACATCTTACACTCTGTTGCACTTCTCTGGTTGGGGAGATCTAAAACACAGTTGTTCTCTATGTCTAGAATCTTCTTCTCCAGCAACTGCCTGCAATTTGGTCCAATCTGTGTAAAGTAGTTGTTACTCAAGCTCAGCTCTTCAAGATATTTCAGCTTGCAGAGAGATTCTGGGACAGTCCCATAAAGCTCATTGTTTTTCAGGTTGAGGATTTCCATTTTCCCAAGGCACCCCAAGGATTGTGGGAGGGGTCCCGTCAACATGTTAGTGCTGGCATCGAAAATGCTTGCATTTTTCAGCAGCCCAATTTCGTAAGGGAGACAACCTGACAGCTTATTGTTCAAGAACAACACTTCAGTCATAGTTTTTGAAGCACTGCCGATGCTCTTCGGGATTGGACCAGTGAGTTTGTTGTTTGCTAAGCTGAGGAAGAAAGCAGGGGTGCTCCCAAGATTTTGTGGGATGGAACCAGTGAAGCCATTGTTGTTGAGAAACAAAGCATCCAGGTCTAATGTGAAGACTTTAGGAGGTATTGGGCCTGTCAACATGTTGAACCTGAGATCCAAAAATGTCAAGTTGTTAGCTTCAAGAACGGCTGTTGGGAACTCTCCAGCAAGCTTGTTGTTGCTCAGGTCAAGCTCAAAAAGTGTGGGGAGTTTTGAAGCTGAAATCCCAAGTGGAGATTGACCCGCTGTAAAATTGTTGGAGTTGATATGTATGACCGCCAGGTCCTGGAAAGAATCAATGAATCCGTTCAACGACATGTGATTCCCATCCAGGTTGAATCCGTTGAAGTTAATCCCACCAACTCTGTGCCGCATACCACCTTTAGGCACATAACAATGGAACCCTCTGTACATTGCAGAGTTTACGCACAGCTCATTTCCTCTCCAGGTTTTAGTCACCCCATTCGGGTCATTTGTTATCACCTTCTTGAATTTGGTTATCACTTCAATGGACTGTGCTATTACTGGATCCACAGTCGGTAAGTGACAGCCGCATTTAGCATTATACGTAGATGATGGAGGGGAAGGGGGAGGAAGGGTTTCTCCCCCAAGAGTGATTTTTGATGTTTGTGTTTTGTGTTGCGAGGAGGGAGACGCCACAGAAGAAGTGACACAGTGAAGCAGGAGAAGAAGGGAGATGAAGATGAAGAGTAGATGGTGACATGATGAAAATGTGGTAGATGAGAAGAATTTGCTTGCCATCTTCATGTCTGCTTCAGAGGAGGAATGGGAGAGAGGTAACCATTTATATGCACACAGAATTTAATGTGCAATTGAATATGGTAGATGAGAAGAAATTGCTGGCCATTTTCATGTCTTCTTCAGAGGAGCAATGGGAGAGGTAACCATTTATTTAGGCAAAGAATTTGATGTGCAATTGAATGTGGTTGTTCAGTCAGTACCAGTTCCTAAAAAACTCATCCTTACAAACAAAAAGACTTTTTAATTTCTTTTTCTCCATAAAAAGAATTATATTTTAACAAAAAAAAAGGGATTTTTAAAAAATTTCATCCATTTTCAATGGAACTTATAGTCATTTTTGACAATTGTTGACAATGTTTTAGTTTCGGGTAAATAATAGACTAAATCAAAATGACACATTAAACTTTCGTTGTAGCTTGCTTTCTATGAAGCTTTGGGAAGGGTAATAGTGTTTCAAGGCTTTAACAGTAATGACATCTCTGTTTTTTACAGGTTAAGGTTATGCACATCTTGACCTTAAACGCATCAACATTGGGATTATATTGGGTTTGTTGTAGTTTTTTTATATTATGTGCTCCAAGTATGTTGTAGGTGTAAAATTTAGTTAATGAAACAATTAGATTAAAAACATAATTACATGCTACCGCAAAAAAAAACATAATAAGAAATCACCCCAAATAGGAGTAAAACATAACATTTATCCTCAAAATAAGAGTTCCATGTTTTTATCCCAAAATAAGAGTTTTGTATTGTGACATTATGATATTGTATAGTAGCATCTCACTGTTTTTTTTGCTACTATATATTGACATAATTGGCATTGTACTCCTATTTAGGGGATAAAAAACACGGAATTTCTATTTTGATTTTTTCTTTATGTTTTATACCTAGTTTAGTCTTTTTCCCCTGAGACCATAGTACCTTGGGCCATGTTTTGAATCTAGTGTTAGTCAAGAGATCTCAAGTCATGTTCTACATTTACTAGGATAATTCAATGGAGATTTGGTGCTAATTGAGCCTGGTCCCTAGTGACTAGTGAGAGTGGAGAAAGTAGAGGTCAAAATTTGGAAAGCCAGAGATTCATAAATCATACCCCCATAGGCTTGATGGGATTCACTTCAACCTTTGGGTTATTTCTATACAGCCGGTTGACGCTTGAGAACAAGAATCTTAGGATGAATGGGAACATGATCCTATGTTGTCGCTACATGAGCTGAGGTACAAAGATGCAGCTCATGTGCGGCTAAGATCGACCAAGACATGGTCGGTTCTTATGTTGTCGCACAATAAGTGTCTCAGTATCTGATCATTAGCCTACTTCGTTCCATGCTCATTGCCATTCCTTTCACTGCAATTTTTTTTGAAAACCAATCACTGCGCATTCATATTCTAAAGTCTAAAAAGAGTATTCCTTTCATTTTACAATAACTGTCTATTAAGATTTATTAGATACATAAAATTTTAAATGAATGTGGATATATTTAAGTCTACATTTATTTAAAATTTAATGTGTCTTTTAATTTTTAATAGGCAGTAAATGTGGAGGAGATGGAATAGTTAATAGAACAATGCTAGGTTCACAAACAAAGTTGTCACAAACTTACCATTTCAGATTTAAATTATTATTTTAAAATTATTTTAGAGTACTTCATTTGTTTTAATTAAATCTCACAAATAATAAATTTGTGACGGTTTTGTTTGTGAACCAAACATTTCTCACGAGCTACAATCATTTTATCCGTCATATGAGTATATGACAACTTCATTGAATGAAGGCAATTAAAAGTGCAGAGGAGATTATATCTCTCCGCAAATTTGTGAGTTTGGGGAATTATGAATGGCCCAACCACAAAGTCGTGTGTAGTGGCGGCACCGCACGGCACAGTTGTTGACAATCCCAAACGGATATACGGAGTAAATAAATATAAATGCATATGTATGCATGGGGCATCTGTTTGCTGGGCTAGCTGAACTGAACATGCCTCATTTATTTGTGGCTTACTATTTATCTCCAACCCAAACTATTTACTCCTATCCATCTCTATTTTCGTCAATGAACTCTACTTAACAGTTAACACCACCCCATGTGTACCCCAAAGTGTACACCGAAAATATACACTATCATTTTAATTGCGGACACTTGGCTGACACTGACACATTATACTAGTGTGATTTTAAAAAAATTTATACTGCTCCCTTTGTCTAATTTATATTGCCTGTTTTGATTTACGAAGTTTGACTGATTATATGAAAAATGGTGTATAAATAACAAATAAAAATTACATATTAAAATACTATATCAAAAGATTTACAAAATTAATGGTAACATAACTATTTCATTTTATAGAATGACTTCCGAAAAAGAGGAAGAAAGGGAGTAGTATTTTGTGTTTGTATGAACCATAATAGTGGCATCACAGTGGCACAAACTGGAAGTGCATACCTTTGGTTTACAATTTAAGTAGTTTAGTTCTCTTCTATGCCATACATCAAATTCAACCCAAAATGGAGTAGTCAAATAGTAGTTCATGTTCAATCTATTAGCCTCAACTCAAACTAAAAAAAAAAATATTTTCCTTTCCCACTACTCTTTATACTTTTCGAAAATTATCCATTTATTTAACACTTACAATTTGATCTACAAATATGTTGTATCCACTTATCTATACCGGAGAATACATGGGTTCTATATGGTGTATTCCATACTGCACTAATACAATTATATAATAAATTATAACCAACGTCATTTTTTCTTGTTCTTTTTTCAAATTTAATTGGTGAAAATTTGTTATTAGTTGAATATTACGGAGTATAACTTATTTTTAAAAATTATTATATTGTTTATGCAAAATATGAATTAGTTCCATAATCCGCACAATAATATTTTCATACGAGTTACTCACTTTGTGAAGAATTTAATTAAAACTACGATTTAATAGAAAAAAAAGTCCAGAAATTCGATCTTGAGCTTGTGGAATGAAACCGTTTGAAACAAGCCGGATTAGTCGACTAGAATTGATTCTACAGAGTAATTATTATTGTAAACAATGTCTCACCTCATCCCTTTCATTTTAAAATAAACCGGGTTCATATTATCTATCTTTTTTTTCAACGTAATTTTACATTTTTAAAAGAGAGACTAATAAAATAAGTAGAAATGTTGGAAATGATCGAAAAGAACTTTCATATTTTTATGTTCAAAATAAGACCTATAACAACAATAATGTCAACATATAATGCTACAAAACACTATGAAATGTCAAAACTGTTCTCGTCCCTACAAAAGATATATGATTTTCAAGAGAGGAGTGATCAACTTCTTGGTTAATCAACTTCTTAGTTCTTTGAAATAAATACTCCCAACAAGTTCAATCTATTCCTATTTACCTCTTGCAACTACAGCAACAATGGCACAACCAAGTTTGATAGGAGAGAGTGCTAAAACCTTTCCTTCCTCTGCAACACAATTAGTAAGTGTATGTTCCTGTAATTGTTGAGAAGGGGGGAAAACACAGAATCACGCAACCGTTCCATTATGGTCCGTTGCAGGGGTCCTTGACATATAAAGGCACCCTCACGCCACGTTCCCTTAGTTGATTCACCAGGCTGTGAAGAAACGAAAACGAGAGTGTGGATTGTTTATTGAGATCCTCTCTAATGTCTGGCTGGAGCCTGAACCATTCTCCCAAGATCTTGTGCACATGGGAACGGATCATTCTCCATGGCACCGGGTACTTCTCACAAAGCTTCAAATACTCCACCACTAGCTCAGCCTGGTCTACATTGCCATCTTCTTCAACTCCTCCCTCACCTCTGTCAGTCCTATACCCAGCAAATAGGGCAGGGTTCTCAAGAAGAGACTCTGCTGAGAGCACACCTTGCGCGCCGGTCTCTTCCAGGCAACTCTGCACATCATCCATGTGCCGAATATTTCCATTGGCGAGCACAGGAATGCTCACTGAGTCCTTAACCGCCTTGACAATGTCCCACTTTGCTCGGAATTTCTTCCCGTCCTTTTCGTCCCTTGTTCGCCCATGCACTGCTAAGAGAGCACAGCCAGCCTCTTCCAACATCTTGGCATAGTTGATTGTGTCTTGCAGATTTGGGAAGATGCGGATCTTGCATGAAACGGGAACAGTTAGATTATTCGACAACTTTTCAACCAGGGATCTGATGAGCGAGAGATTATCCATTAGGAAAGCTCCATAATTCCCCCTCTTTGCAATGCGCTGAGGACACCTGCATTGTCATGTGCAAGATGAGGAGATGGACATATAGATGATGTATGGTCTCATTAGTCTGTAAACATAATTCAATGATCTTTCGTGTTAGGCAACAAGAGTGATAGATTGATTTTTAACAAGTCATAGTTAAGTTACTGCTGAAAATGTATGGGGGATTATTAGACAGGATAAGTCAAATCGCAGAGAATGGTTTCGAGGCAGGAAGTGTGTGAAATATGCTCTTTTGTTTTTGGTGGAGAAGAGGGTATCTATGGAAGGGCATAATCATGGCTACCTCTACTTGCTTATCAAAAAGTGGGTCTGAACCCTGGACCTCTAGGATACAGCAGGAGTGACTCTGCCGGTGCACATTCACAAACTCGCAAATTGCATATAAAAAAAATTTAGGACAGAAATTTCAAGAAACACTTAAATAGTTAGTTAATACAAGTTGAAGGACCATTTCTGAAAAACAATAATGCCGCAAACATGACACGTCACAAAGGATGAGTAAACAGAATAGACAAAAAGACAATAAAATAAAATATGTAGTTTTTTGGGTGAAATGTATAGGATGATCCCATCAAAAGCCATAATACTGGAAATTATCTGCAAGAATGATTTGTCTAGATTACTATAAGAAACAAGACTATACCCAAAGTTGATGTCTACATAATCACAATACGGTTCAACTCTTCGAGCAGCTTCCAGCAAAATGTCAGGGTCATTTGCACAAAACTGAACAAACAATGGCCGGTCTTCCTGCGAGTTCAAAGAATCGAACCAACAAGATAATCTGAATCATGAGAGAGGCCAGGAATACAAAATTAAATGTTCAAATAAAAGCCATGTAAATCAGATTGCAAACACTGATAGTAATTCAGTGGTGAGTTCTTCAGGACAATTGATACGTGGAATTAAACACTTCTCACCGGAACCCATTCATATAATTCACACAAACATCACAAGGAGCCACATTAATCACACGTGCAATAAAATGTACTTCCTCCGTCCCATAAATTGAGTCGTGCTTCAACAGAGTACAACATTTTAATTTTACTAAGGTACAACCATCGAAATTCATCAATCATAACTATATTTTCAAATTTATTTGTTGCTTAACTATATTAAGCATACTCCAACATTGTTGTGATACAAATTCTTTTTAATTACGAAGTAAAAAACATCAGATAAGATGAAAAATAGATTATTACTCCCTCCGTCCCTTAAGCATACTTCAACTTTCACTTCTTATCCATCCCATAAAGAATTTCAATTTCGTCTAAATGGACACAATTGCCTTTACTTTTCTTAAATCTAACCAAACGAACCTCAACTACCTACTAGGCTCTATCTACCCATTTTGACATTTCCCGAGCCCAACTTGTTTCAATTGTAGTTGTTTCGCCTAGGTCAAACTTCTATATTAAAATTTTCCGGGACAGAGGGAGTATTTTTGGTTCAAAGAGCACCTTTTTTTATGTTAAAAAATAAGTTCTAGACTCATTTAATGAGATGTTTCTTGAATCACCAGCTCAAAAATGCAATAAAATGCCATAAACAAAAATTCCAGAAAATTCCAAAACCCTAAGTTATGATTTGAAGATGATGCAAAGAGTAGTACCTTGCAAGTGGTGAATTCTAGAGAGCGGTATTTCTCGTTTTCGGTGAAAATACGAGAGTGAAGCATAGGCGTATAAGCAGCTTGGGCGCCATACTTTCTACAGAGCATACGAAAAGGAAGCTCGGAGTTGTCGACCATGGGGGCGACTATATATTTAGGCTGCCCCAGCTTGTTCCAATGAGCCCAAGCCCTCTCAATCTTGGCCTCTCCACTCAAGTATCCATTCGGAGTGCCCAATCCAAGGGACGGAGACTTCAAGTTCTCCGAGATGTCGGCCATGGATTCGGAGTTGTCTGCGCAAAGAAGGTCGTCTCCATCGCGAGGAAGGTCTATGGAGGAAGAAGCGGGGAGAGCTTCTGTGGCCATGAAATGGGGTTTAACGTGGGAAGAAGAGGAAGAAGAAGAAGGGTTTGATTTTGTGAAGATAGAGAGTGTGGAGGAGATGTGCTTGAATCTCATGAGGCAGAAGAATTGGGAGGAGAGGTGAGCAACCCCGTCGTGCAAGGAGGCAGGCACGATCTCTGATGCTCAGACACGCTAATTGGGCTTGGACTAGTGTTTTTCATGGTCCAAATTAGAGGTTGTTCGGAAGTGTGTTTGAAATATCTTTTAATAATTGGCTTCATTCAAATACAATTTTTTAAGTGTTTTCCAATCAATTTTAGATTATGGATTATGATTTTAGAAGTATAAATTATGCTCTAGAAGTGATTTTCACCAAAGCTCGTAGTAACTGTTTTCTACTTCTAATTTAACACATCTGCTTTTCAAGACTCACTGCACTCACTAACACCCTCTTAGACGTGAAGACGTGGAGGACACACTACCTGTCCAGTTCAAAGTATTATTTTGCATTTTATTAGGGGGTTACTGGGGAATTAGGAAATGCGAATCATTAATTTTTTTTAATAGAGTACTGTATGAATCCCGAGTAATCCATAATACCGATTCTCAATGTCATGGAATTAATATATTATTTTTAAATATCATCCTAATAATAAATCACCCAAAATAGAAGTAAAATATAAAAAATACCAAAATATGAGCTCGATCTTTTTATTCTCAAAATAGAATTTTGCATTGTGATAATATGACACTGTATATGGACACTTCATTGTACTTTTTGGTATTTTATATTGGCGTAATTGACATTGTATGCGTGTGTCTACATACATACATACATACATACATACATATGTGTGTGTGTGTGTAAACTTCTATTTTAAAAATAAAAACATAGAACTCCTATTTTGGTATATTTTCTATATATTGTTCCTATTTTATTTTTTTCCTACTCTCTTACTCTCAAAATATATGTCTTATTATGCAAAACGGAATAAAATTTTAAATTTTTTTCAATTTATCTAATTTGAAGATTCATATAAAAATAAAAAATAAAATTTACATATTTAAAAAGTATGTCAAAAGTTTTTCAAAATAAGAGGTAAGAAGAATATTTTATTTGATCAAATAATTGATCAAAACGTACAAATAAACAAAAGATTCTCGTGTTTTTTAATAGTACACTGTGGTTATCATTTTGGAACGGAAAGAGTATTTCTTTTGTCTTATTTATTTCTTTTCACTTCAACTTTTGGGCTGTTTTTTATCTTTGTTCTCACTTTTTGACAACTAAAAGTATATAAATGTCTAATTTACCCCTTTGAAGTTAGATCTATTTTGGTGATGCGTAGTCATCGGCCCAAAGTGGCCCACTTGTAGGCAATTGAGAATTAGGAGACCAGATTAGGGTTCGGCCGGCCCAAATGGTTTTAAGTGTAGTTTGCTATAACTTGATGAGCAATGGTTAAACCTAATTAGTTGTCTATATATATTCTCCTTTACTTGTAATCATTATCATTCAATAACACAAACCCTAATTGCCCCCGTAGATGTAGGTTAGATTAGACCGAACCACGTTAAATTTCTTGTGTTGTTTATTGCTTTCTTACTTTCTATTTTTGTGTGTGTGTCTTTGTTCCTAACAGCTAGTATCAGAGTCTAGGTCAAACACACAATTCAGCCTCCACTGAAACCCTAGCGACTCTAGTGTTTTTGCTGACACATCAGAAGACTACCAAGAGAGTCATTTATTCAAAGTCCGAACAACCTTAATGTTTAGTTTGCTACTGCAAGTTTCGAGGTCAGTTTTAGTTTTTTGTTTGAATCTATTCTCACGTTTTCTCTTGTCAGATTTTGGGTACTCAGAAGAGATGATGTCTGAAGACAGAAAGATCAGGATACAAAAGTTTGATGGGCAAGATTTTGTATGGTGGAAGATGCAAGTGGAGGACTTGCTATGTCAGAAAGATCTGCTTCCATGTTTGAAAGGTTAGAAACCCGATAAGATGAAGGATGAAGAATGGACTGACTTGGATAGAAAAGCCCAAGCCGTCATCAAGTGCACTTTGACAAAGAATGTGGCTTTCAACATCGTGAAAGAGACTACTGCTCGTAGGGTTATAACAACGTCGTCAAACATGTATGAGAAACCTTCTGCATCTAATAAGGTATTCTTGATTAGACAATTAGTTAACACTCGATCATATGCGGGAAGGTGGTTCACTTACTACTCATATCAATGTTTTCAATACCATTATATCATGTTTGCTATATGTTGATATCAAATTTGATGATGAGATACAAGCTTTGCTTCTTTTATCTTTGTTACTTGATAGTTGGTCAGGATCGGTCACGGCTATTACTGGTTCAGCTCGAAACACCACACTCACTTTGGAAGGAATCCATGTGTAATGCCACGAAATCTGGTCTAAAAGAATTAACTACATAAATTGTCGATTTTGACCGTGTGGGATCTAACCGCCAGAAAATTAAAAATATTAGAGAAAAATATTTTGAATACATCATTGTGTTCCATTTATTTTGTCCTTACTGCTTCCTCTGACTCCCTACTTCAAAGACTGACACAGCATCTCAAGGGAGAATTTACTATGACTGACATGTACGACCTTCATTTCTTTCTTGGGATTAATTTTCATCAGACAACTCATGCTCTCTTTTTGCATCAGACACAGTTTGTGCACGACATTCTTGAGCGTGCTGGCATGATTTCTTGTTGCCCCATCTCCACCCTGGTTGATAGAAAGGCCAAAATGTCCAGCAATCTGGCTCCTTGGCAGCTAATCCAACTCTCTACCCCTCCATTGTAAGTGCGCTCCAGTTTCTCACTTTCACTCGTCCAGACATCTCTTATTCGGTTCAGCAGCTCTGTCTTCATCTACATGCCCCACGAGATGTCCACATCACGGCCATGAAGCGAGTTCTTCGCTACCTTCGTGGAACCTCCACATTCGGTATGTCTCTATCTCCCTCCCGTACAGACTTCCTTCAGGCCTACTCTGATGCCGACTGGGCTGGATGCCCCGATACTAGGAAGTCCACATCTGGCTACTGTGTATTCCTTAGGGACAATGTAATCTCTTGGTCCTCCAAACGTCAGGCCACCACATCCCGTTCCGGCGCAGAAGCAGAATATCGCGCCGTTGCAAATACCGTTGCCGAAACTAGCTGGATCCGTAATCTTTTTCTAGAGGTACATCAGCCCCTTCGCCACGCCACTCTCATTTTCTGTGACAATGTCAACTCTGTATATCTCTCCACCAATCCTGTCCTGCATCAGCGCACTAAGCATGTTGAGGTATATATCCACTTTGTTCATGACAAGGTGGCTCTTGGCCAGATTCGAGTTCTTCATGTGTCATCTTCTTCATTGTATGCTGACATATTCACAAAAGGACTCCCGTCCACGTTGTTTACAGACTTTCGCACGAGCCTCGAGATTCGCCCGCCACCGACGCCGACGTAGCTGAGAGCATGTTAAATATATATTCTATATTTATTGTGTTAAATATGTATTCTATATTTATTGTATATATTGTTTCCTATTATACTCTCCTACCTTATGTAGGATTAGAAATACTTGTATATATAAACACATGTACTCCCACACAATTACTCGAGGAAAATACAAGAGGAATTTACTTAAATAGCACCAAAACATAATGACTTTCTCTAATTAGCATCACATGTGTTTTTCTTCCCAATGTAGCACTTTTAGTCATTATGCATTATTATTCAAGCAAATATTCGCCATCACTGGACATTATGGACATTATTAAGTACTATTTAGGGAATAAAATAGTTTAAGTGCTATTTAGGGAAATGATTTAAGTTTTAGTGCTATTTAGTGCAAATATTTCAAAATACAATTCTTCATTGAGTCTTGTGAAAGCTCATAATACATTTTGTTTTTTTAAAGAATTTAGAGACAAAATCAATCATTCTCAAATGTTCATGGCTATTTTATTAATCCATATGAATATTCAAATAAAAATGTGTTTGGGCATATAAAAATCTGTTGCCTTTAAAAAATTGTTGCCTTAGCTATGTACTCATAAGCTTGTCTTCACAAAGTATTGCCTTTATGTGCCAAAACGGTTGCCTTAAAGAAAGACAACAAGGGCGCATGCAACTCTAATTTTTTGTTCCTTAGATCTAAAGCAACAATTTTTTAGTCTTTGGCAACACTTTTTAATGGTTGACATAGACTAATAATGTTGTAGTAAATATAATATTAATTTTTCATTAGAAATTATTAATTTAATATGATTTATATTTTTATCTAGTTATCGAAAAATTGTAATTACTAACGGAGTAATGATTGCAAGATATGTCACTTGCAACAATTCTAATATCAAAACAACAAGGTTCTAAGTAATCATTCAAAAGAACTTAAATTAACTATTTTAATAAAGAAACCTGTGACGACGAATCAGAGAAGAGAACAAGAAAAGACTCGGGTTGGGGTCAGTTCTTACAAAGGTTCGAGTTGTATTTGTTTTCAAGAATATTCTAATCTCTTTTTAATTACAAAAATTTCACTATTCTAAAACAAGGTAGGGAAAAAGGTCATAAAAATGTTGGCATTTTTATGTTATGGGTCAGTACTTAGAAGGGTTTTAGTCGTTTTTATTTCCAAAAATTTTCTATTTTTATTAGGTAAAGTTTACTATTCTAAAATAATGAGGAAAAAAAAAAAGAAAATGAGTATAAGAAAAGGCGCCAATTCATTCATGTAAAACTTTTAGTAGTTCATTTTTTGTATGTCTCAAAAAAGTTAACTTTTTTTACTTTTTTAATATTTTTTTATTTTATAAAAGTTAAATAGAGATTTTTTATGCAACAAAAGTAGTTTTTAATATGCATCCGACATATGCACATTTAAAAAATAAAAATATTAATTTGACACAACTATTTTCTTTCTGTACTAAGTTAGTATATGAACATTTATTATTTCACATATTCTAAGAACATGCACATTATAAAAATTATTAGTGTATGCACATTTAAAATTTATAAAATGCTTAATAAAAGAAAATTGTGTGTACAATTATTTTGGTCAGTATTTTAAAATGTTGACTCGAACACGTTTAAAAACATAGTTAACAAAAATTTCCAAATCACAAAGAATATTATATAATAATTAATTTAAAATTTTAAAACTTTATGTGACTTTATAATGGTAACTATAATTTATATCTAGGATATACGTAGTACCTTTTTAATAAATTGTGACATTAAATCTTTATTTTATTGAGATAATAAAGATAATATGAAAATAAACCTAAATAATTTAGGTCATTATTGGAAAAAAGTTGGAAAAGTTGAATACTACCTCCGTCCCAGAGTATTTGTCCACTTTCATTTTTACACACCATCTAATACACTTCTTTAATGCATTTTATCTTGTAATTTGTATATTAAAAAATTATAGATATTATATATTAATGATCTATCTGTTAAGACAAATCAAACAAGATCACACATGACTATATTTAGGCTTACACAATGAGAGAATTTGATGAGTCAAAGTGCTTAGATGAACAGTTCCAAAAGTCAAAACTGGACGAATACTCCGGGACAGAGGGAGAAAAATGGAAGGAATTGGAAAAAGCTGGAAGAAGTTGGAAAATCTAGCAATTTAAAGAAACTAGAAAGAAAAAATTTAGAATTTGAAAAAACTGGAAGAATTTAGAAAAAAACTAGAAAGAATCGCAAGAACTACAAGGAGTTGAAAATGTCAAAATGTCAAAATCAGATCAGATAAGATCACATCAGACCAGATCAGATCAGATCAGATCCAATCGATCAGATCAGAACTTATTAAAATCAGATCCCATCAAGAATTATTATTATTATTATTATTATTATTATTATTATTATTATTATTATTATTATTATTATTATTATTATTATTATTATTATTATTATTATTATTATTATTATTATTATTATTATTGTTATTGTTCTTAAAAATGAAAGAGAATAAACTTTAGAAACAGGTTAAATAGAAAAATGAGAAAGTAATCCTTAATTATTAGACGTCGGAAAAATTAGTTTTAAAATACATTGACAATGTCGATCTAATTGTACTTTTAAAATATATTTTTATTGCTACTTGTAATTTGAGTTTCTAAAGTTTTGATCTTTTATAAGGATGAGATATTTTAATAAAAATACTATCTCTTCTATGTATTGATTATCTAAATTTAATTATTTTTTAATGTATATATAAACTAAATAGTTATTCTGGTGTATATATGAAGTAATTCTTAAAATATTAAATAAATATTCTAATTTCACAAAAAATAATCATAAAATAAAAAATATTATTACATTATAATATGAATGATTATTCTAATATATGTATTAACTAATTTTATTTCATTAAAAAATAATCATTAAATAAAAAATATTGATTATATTATAATATGAATTATCATTACAATTTCCAAACGTTATTATAAAGTCAAATCAAAATTATTGATTTGAATTTTAAATCAAATCATAATTAATCAGATCAGACTAGATCAGATCAGATCTAATCAGATCAGATCAGATCCAATCAGATCAGATCAGATCAGATCCAATCAGATCAGATGAGATCTAATCAGATCAGATCACACCAGATCAGATCAGGTCAGATCAGAACTTATTAAAATCAGATCAGATCAGAAAAAATAAGTTGAACGGAATAGAGCCTTAATGCTAAAAAAACAAAACCTTATTTTTTTTTTGAATGCAACAAAACCTTATTTTAAGACAAGGCCAATCTGGAAAAATGAAAAACTAAAATTGACCCTGTGGAAAATTTATGTTTTGGGCCTATTTTATTTTTTTCACAGTACTTATGCTTCAAAATCAATGTTGAATTTTATTTCTATTAATCACTTTTATAAAAATTTAAATGTTAAAATTAAAAATTAGATCTAATCAGATTAGATTAGATCAGATTAGACCAAATCAGATCCAATCAGATCCGATCAGATCAAATCAAATCTGATCAAACTAGCTCTAAAAAATTAGTATTATTATTTTTATTATTATTATTACTATTATTATTACCATTATTATTAGTATTATTATTACTATTACTATTTATATTATGATTACAATTATTATTACTATTTTTATTATTAATATTACTATTATTATTATTACTAATAATAATAATAATAATAATAATATTATTATTTTTAATATTCTTATTATATTTATTATTACTATTTTTATTATTACTATTAATATTACTATTATTATTATTTCTATTATTATTATTACAATTATTATGACTATTATTATTATTATTACTATTACTATAACTATTACTATTATTATTATTATTATTATTATGACTATGATAATTATTACTATTTTTATTATAGTTATAAATATTATTATTATTGTGACTAATATTATTATAACTTTTACTAATATTATTAATATTTCTATTATTATTATTGTTATTATTATTATTATTATTTCTATTATTATTATTGATTTTATTTTGAATATTTCTATCATTATTGTTTCTATTATTTTTACTATTATTATTAGTATTTTTATAGTTATTATTATTGCTATTCTTATTATTCTTATTACTATTACTATTATTGTTATTATTATTTCTATTATTATTAGAACTATTATTATTAACTTATACTATTATTAATATTATTATAACTATTATAATAATTTTAATTTTAATTTTAATCAAATTTATATCAGATCACATCCAATCAGATCAGACCAAATCATTTCAGATCTAATCAGATCATACCAGATCAAATCAGATCAGAATTTGAAAAATCAGATCAGATCAGGTGAACGGAGCGCAAACATAGTCTTGTCACCACTGGTTTTGTAGATATTTTGATATAGTTTTTAAATACCGGTATGTTAAAAATAACTTCAGTCAAATATCGTAAACTTAAACAGATAGTTTAAATTTGGATACATTAGTAGACAACACTTGTGAAAAACTATAACCAATAAATGAGAAATGCAACACTCTAAAAATGTTACTCCGTACTTTATATGTTTAGGGGTGAGCATGATTCAGGATACTACCGGAACATATCACGGGTTGTGCTTAGTTAAATAATTTGATATCGCTATGAGATGAACCCCAAGGTCATTCGGCGGCATCATTTTATTTTGAAAGAGATATGTAGAATATCATATCATGCTCAAACCATGCATAGCACAAATAACATTAAAACAGAAGCACAATTATTTTATTATAAAAATACAACTTTGTTAAAACATTTCGAATTTACAAAAATCATAAATAAAAGATAACCAATTCAATTTTAAACAACGATGATTTCTTTTTCAATCAACACAATATTGGACTATTAATAAGTCTCAAAACATATTGCTCGCAATAAGCATAACAACAACAATAATAATGAATGAATATTAAAAAACGGATAATATAATAAGCAGTACTCCACATATGGAGTATATCTATGTATAAATATAGATATAATTTTTAAAGTTTTATACTTCGTATTAGAGACCATATAAATTCCGGTAAGAACAAGGTGTACCGACGGAGGGAGTATTAAACAATACTCTATAAGCGTTTTATAATTATTTAATCATATCAAAAAATTATCATTGTGATAAAGTAAGGCAATGATTTTTTTTCAACTTCAAAATTAACTTTCTCAAAAAAAAAAAATAGTAACATCAAAAAAAAAAAAGAATCCTATTAGCAACACTCACAGTTTTAAAGAATGCAGTAGTTTTAATGGTATAACGCTAGCTGTAAATAGAGAGTGTTAATTTAGGTAGTAGCCCAACATTATTGGTGTAGGATTGTTACACCAGTTTATTGGTGTAAAATTCTTACACCAATGTAAATAAAGCACCTATGATGTTTTAATTGTAAAATTGATTATTCCTACCCGGTAAATCCCCCTCGCCCGTCCCGTCCACAAAGCACTCCCGCTCTCCTGCCTAAATCATTACACTAAGTTTTGGTCAAAAAATTGACCAAAAGTCAACAAAATATGGTATAGTAAAATTGGCCGGAATACGTTGGGAACAGGGCCAGCTAAGAGTATTTATTGGAGGGGTTAGGAAAAGTACAAACAATCAATTTTACGACCGGAACACCATAGGTACTCCATACTCCAATTGAAATGATATAATAATCTTATACCAAAAAATGACGTAAGATTACCTCTTCAATTATAAGGGTCATGCTACACTTACACCACAAATTATACCTCATTTGTACACCACAGTAATACACAAATTTTTGATGGTTTACACCGACATAAGTGTTGGTGCATTAACAAAAATTTACACAGACACAAAGTGTTGGTGCATTAACAAAAATTAGTTTTACACCAACACAAAGTGTCGGTGCAAACCTGCGGGGTACAAAGTGGGGTACAAAAGTTGGGGTACAAATAGCTTTATCCCAATTATAAACACCATACTTCCAAAATTGAGCCACACACCACAATTCTCACCTTTTCCTTCCCACCATACATCTCTATCTCCGTTTAATAAAATGCCTACTATTCATTAGAGTAATAAAATGCTTACCAGTTACCATATGCCTGCAATACTCATGACCTTTCTTTAAGTTAATTAAAAGACCAAGATACGATTATTAATTAATTATAAAATATTTTATTAATTAAAAAACAATATATATTTCATTAAATTAAAAATATACATTTTTTACTTTAAAAATTATAGTAATTAATAATACCAGAAATTAACATTAAAAAACTAGAAATTAAGATATTTTAAAAAAAAGGCATTAAGCCGCACAACTATCAGTCAATGGATGGAGCGCATCCGTACTCTTCTAGCAATATGCTAGACTTACTAATGAAAATTCAAATACAATCTGGGCCAACAATACACATCGCGCAAATAGATCCAAACCACATGGGAAATCTTGACAAACACAATTAAAGGATACCATTTCCCAAAGGAAGTCTCAGGTAGAATAGTTCTATACAACAGCGCAAGGTTTTCCACTCTTAACATTTATTTGCTAATTACACCATGCAGAAATTTTAGTGCCAAGATTTTGGTTCAGTACTCCAAAAGGGAACATAGATTGGTTGCAAACAATTATTCTTTGAAACTTTTAAGTTTTAGAACACCAACATCATCAACTTTAGTTAGACACATGTGATAATGCTCCAAAAGGCTAGAATTGAAATCTGCAATCAACATTTCCTTCCAAATTAGCAATGTCTTTTGACCAAAAAGTTGGTGTTGTTGCAAGTCTGATTCATCATGAAGGAGCTCTTCAAACTTGGCGAGCAAGCTGTCAATTGGGAGTGTGGTGCCTGCCTTTGGAGTTCCTTCTCTCAGAAAATGTTTACCAAAAAAATTAACTTCAACTCCAGTGGCATCATATCCAGAGAATGATCCAAGAGAAGACTCCGCTTCTCTTTCATTGTCGTTTATATTCAGATTTAAGTGATGACTTTCTGAACTGGCTGAACGAGATAAAGTGGCATTCTTCGGAGTACTAGTGCTACAACTCCTTCTCAAGGAGTTGGAGGAGCCAGTAAAAGCAGTGAAAGCGGTGTGGGGCTGAGAATGCCAATTTATCTCGTTCAGCCGGTTCAGGAAGTCATCACTTAAATCTGAATATAAACGACAATGAAAGAGAAGCGGAGTCTTCTCTTGGATCATTTTCTGTGGATATGATGCCACTGGAGTTGAAGTTAGTAATTTGTTATTGGTAAACATTTTCTGAGAGAAGGACCTCCAAGCCAGGTATCACTTTCCTTCATGATGAATCAGACTTGCAACAACACCAACTTTTTGGCCAAAAGACATTGCTGTTTTGGAAGGAAATGCTGATTGCAGATTTCAATTCTAGCCTTTCGGAGCATTATCACATGTGTCTAACTAAAGTTGATGATGCCAGTGTTCTAAAACTTGAAAGTTTCAAAGAATGATTGTTTGCAACCAATCTATGTTCCCTTTTGAAGTACTGAACCAAAATCTTGGCACTAAAATTTCTGCATGGTGTAATTAGCAAATAAATGTTAAGAGTGGAAAACCTTGGGCTGTTGTATGAAACTATTCTACCTGAGACTTCCTTTAGGAAATGGTATCCTTTAATTTTGTGTTTGTCAATATTTCCCATGTGGTTTGGATCTATTTGGGCGTTGTGTATTGCTGGCCCAGATTGTATTTGAATTTTCATTAGTAAATCTAGCATATTGCTAGAAAAGTACGGAGGCGCTCATTCGTGAAAATCGTGTCAACTGACTCCTCTCTCGTTCATTGGTGACTATATGCTCATTCCTGATCATCCCATCCTCACGTTCGCCTTCCTGATTCCTAAACATCACATCTTCCTGTTCGATACTGATTACATTATGCTCATTCCTGATCATTGCATCCTCCTGTTCGTTGCTAATTACATTATCATCCTTGAAACCCATGGTGTCTCTTATCATGTCATCTTCGTCCCGCTTTACGAAGTAACAAATATTGTGTTTATATTAGTAAATATAGAAATTTATGTTTAACAAAATTGAATTGCAAAACTTACTTTCAATAGTGATTTTTGATTTCTTATCTAGAAGACAATCGACTGTGATGGTATTACCCTCTTCAGTCTTCTTGAAAATGTTATTCTCAAACTTCAATACATATCCGTTTAAAACTATTCGAAGCTCGGATATTGGACTCTCCATCATTGGGCTGAAAGAAACCTTTTTCGCATCAATGTTTCTCATTACAATAAGCTGAAAAAATAACATCTCACATAGGAACACCTGAAAAATAGAACTGATAGCAAAACCTCGGGTGATTGTTGTCTAAAATTATTTAATCTAGTTTAATACCAATGCGTGCGTGTGACTTAATGACCTAAAAGCTAAATGGCCATTACAGAGCAGTGAAAAGTTATAAAAATGAATAGGCAATATCAATCATCTAGCATAAAATGTCACATCAGCAGGCATAAGCAGCCTAAGCACATGGAAACCCCAATTATGGAGAATATCAATGAGATATACTCCGGAGTACAAGTTTTGAACTACATAACAGGAAGAGTATAACACATTAAGCGGATGAACGCAGTGTGTGTAGGATGATAAGGGAGGGCACATACCTTGAAGCATAAATGAGAATCTATATAAAGCAAACTTAGCCAATCTATCCTACTAGGTTGGAGCAACTCAACCCATTCAGAAAATCTATATAAAGCACTATAAAATGGGAGTGTGTGCCACCAACAGCTTTCAATTCAAAGCACACTTAGCTCTAATTTGCTCATCTTTTTCTTCTTTAACTGTATGTGTAGGCCAATCTTTTACTTTACACAGTTTACAGAAAGCTACTTAACACAGGGACTTAACACATCACCATCTGTTGAAAAACTTTGAAGACTTTTATTCATTCCAGTGATTGAATTCACCCCACCCCCCATCCCCAGTCCCCCCAACATACACTGACATTCAAAAAAAACTCTAATAGTATTCTGAACATTCAAGATAAAAGCCAGAGGAAGAAGAGCAAACCTTGGAAATAGTCAAGGCTGGACTCCACTGCTCTTTAAGGATATCAAGGCAGATACTGCCATTGCTATTGATGTTTGGGTGGAAGACCTTGGTTCGAAAAGCAACTGAAAGAATATAAAGGAAGTCAATTGCCTGAACACATCAACAAAAAATTCTACAAGCAAATGAGGAAGTCATATAAAATCAACATTTGGCAATTTGGTTCTTGGGTTAACAATCTCACAGAGCATTAGATAGAGGCAATGAAAATCAATGGAATATAGTTAAGTAAAAAGATTCAATCAATTAATGATTTCAGGGATCAAATGGCTTCTAGATATCATAATCTTAAATATTGCCCCTTTAACTCTGCAATCAATTTATGAAGAAATGAAAAATTGTTTCAAACTCTCTATGAGGAGAAGAATGTACACTTTTTTCAAACTCTATACCATCATCATCATCATCTATACTGCTCTCTCTCTCTCTCTCTGTATTTATACATGTTACTCCAAAACCATTAAACTATGGAGGTACATAATTGACTCAACTAACTAAATAATAAAAAATCTAAGAAAAGACTACACACATACAAACCGACACAAGCACTACTACAAAAACAGGTTTTAGCATCGGTCTTCTGGACCTTTTGCATCGGTTTTCTACCGAGCAGATATTTGTCTAAAAACACAAAGAAAAGGCATAGTGTCCTTGACAAGAAAATAGGAGAATTCTAAACGATATCAAATCAACGGTCTACAGTTTCTGTTTGCAGCATTTTTTATTGTCATGTTTAGTATTGAGTGACGGGTCTTACCACCCAAACTCTGATGACACCGTCTGTATATCCACTGAAAAGAGTCGATCCGTTGGCACTCCAACTCAAGCTCGCGCAGAATATCACCTGCCCAAAATGAAATCGAACCCAAAAGAGCTTAATTAGCACAGAAAGGGACACATAAGAAATTTAGAGACATTTGTATATATAGAACTACCATTGAATTAAGAAAACAGATCATCTCACAATAAACAATGATCAGACCTAATTTCTATTAATGTTGACAGGTTTGTTGGGAATTAGATTCTAGGGTTCCAACAATTGCAAATTATCCGATTGCAAATTGAATTGGGAATGTATAAATGGAAATATCTGGGGATCGAATCAAGTAGCTACTCGTGGTACGTAGTCGCAGACAAGGGTGTGCTCGGCGAGAGGGAAATGATGGCGAAGGGAGAAGAAGGTGACGCCAACGACGACCAACGATGACCAACAGCGAAGAAGGGAGGTACACGCCCTAGATGACCATGACGAAGATGGAATCTGCACAAACAAGGCGTAGGACGACGAAGACAGTGGCATCGAAGGGAAGAGGCAACGGCGACATAGATCGAGAGAGAGAGAGAGAGTAGATCTACAGAATTGCACACGAAAAATTCTTTAAATAGTCCTTTATAACTATAACTATAACTAAGGGTTTCCCTATTTAGTCCTTATTTAACAAGTATTGAATATTTAGTCTTTATTGTTTGGGTACCATTCCAGAAAAGGTCCTCCGTCATTTTTCCCGTTCCAGCGCAGTTAAGTGAAGGGTAATAACGTAATTTCACCCCACTATTATTGACGCCTATATACCCAGCGGTGTTCTCCGTTCTCCACAATCGTCGATTGAGAGCTAGGGCAAGAGAATCGCAAGAATTGGGGCTATGAAATCGCAAATGTCAGTGGGTCACCGAAGGTATTTCTTGTGTAATTCCAACTTTCTACGTTTCTAGTTTCAATTTCTTTACTTCAATTTGTAATTTCTAATGTAAAGCTTTTGTGAGAATTATTTGAATTCATTTGTGTGGGCATTGAGAATGGTGCCTCGATAGAGGATAAAATCAAAATTTTTGAACTTGGTGATATTTTATTATTTTTTGTAATTTTTTTTTTGATTTTCGTGAACTTTATGTAACCCTACCTGTTTTTTTATATTTATTTTTTTTTTGGATTTTTTATTTTTTTCAACCTTAGCTTTTTTCTTATCAAATTTGGTGTCATTTTTTCATCTTATTTTGTAACGGTGCATTTTTTTATGAAATTGACTGTGTTTGGGTTTGATAGCTATGGGAATCATTCATCGTCGGCCTCGTCTAGAAGAATTGAACATTTTGGTGATTGGCTTGAAGTTCCCAAATGTAATTGTGGCAATGAAATGAGAATTCAGACTGCATGGACTGATAGCAACCCGGGAAGAAGATTTTGGATAAGTAATGAAAAAGTTAGTGATGTTTACCTTTGGAATGTGTAAATGTCAATTGTATTAGATATGGTTAGATTTATGAATATAATGCTAATTATGTATAGGGATGGCGTAAATGCAAGAGGTGGGAGTGGATTGATCCTCCAATGTGTGACAGAGCGATAAAAATTATTCCTGGCTTGTTGAAGAGGATCAATGCTGCGGAGGAGGAAAACGAGCAACTAAGACAGCAGATAAAGGCTAAACAACCAAAACAAGGCACTAAAATCACTCATTTGCTGATTGGGTTTTGTGTGTTGTGTGTTAGCGTATGTGTGTACTTTGGAAGGAATTAAGATAAGCCTTTTGTGGATTGGTTAATGTATGTTATGTGTAAGTGTATGTGTGTACTGTTAGGATTGACAAAAGTGTAATGCTTGACATTTTATGTGGGATTTGACAAAAGTGTAATGCTTCATATTTTATGTGTTCTTATGTTGTATTTAATGTATGTTTTGTGTGATTGATTGGGTCAAGAATGTATTTTATAAACTGAATTGCAGCAAGAATAAACAGCATATTGTTCCATATTCCTTGTTCCCTTGCGCAACAGCAGTACCAAATACAAATGAACAACAAACAAAGCCCAGAGATTACAAACCAGATCAGAGCAAGTAAAAGAACACCACTTTGTTAACAAATGAAAGTTTCTAGTGGCCAAATATGACATGGGCATTGAAACCAGTACATAAACCCACCAAAAACAGCAAAATGGAAGTTTCATGTACATAAACCCACCAAAAACAGCAAAAAAGACATGGGCATTAAAACCAGTGCTTTAGTTTTGCCAAATATGCATGTACATAAAACCTACCAAAAACAGCAAAAAAACATGGCCATCAAAACTAGTTTAGTTATGCCAAAAAACCCCACCAAAAACAGCAAAAAGACGTTATTCATAGTCCACATGCAACGGGTCATTCGAATTGTTCTTGAACCTTGACGTCAGTGTGCACGTAGGCCTAGTGACATATGGCCTCACAACCTGCATCTTCTGTTTCTTGGAAGTACTAGGTGCAGTAGATACTTGGGAGATGGGGGGTTGCACCATGTGTTGATTTGGGATGTTGTTCATAGCTGGGATAACATCAAAACGTTGGATTTCACTGTCTTGAGCCACTGGAGTTGGATTCAATTGGTCAGTTCCAGACCATAGATTCGAATCAACTTGCAAATCAGCCCACCAAGGTTCTGTAGATTCTTGAGCAGATACTTCTGTCTGAATTACATTGTTGGATGCAGCTTCCTCCTGGGCAGATTCTCGAGCAGCCTTTAACATCCTTCTCTTTAGAGCTTTTCTCTGTGATTTTTTTTGTTTTGCTGCAACCTAAAAAAATTATGCACATCACAATGTTAGCAACTTACAGTAACATGAATTAAGTAAATAAGACATTGGGGTACCTGTCTTGCCACTGCCTCTGGATCTTCAGGGCATGTTTTCTTATTGTGGCCTACTTTTTTGCACTTACCACACCTTCTATTAGTAAATACACCAGACAACTTTTTACCATCTTTCGTTAGTTCACCCACACTTTTCTTTCTCTTTTTTTTGGTCTTCCTGCTTTGGGTGCCAATAAAGGAGGGTTCAATGGCTGTCTTTCATCATCTGGCCACTCATTTCTACCCCTTAATGGTTTAATGCAGCCTTTATACACAGCCTTATATGTTTCTACAAAATAGTAGTCGTCTACATATTCCTCCACCTCTCTTCGATATTGTTGCCTCTGTATCCATATTGCACAGATAGCATGTGCGCAAGGGATCCCAGTCAACTGCCAACTCTTGCATGTACAACTCCTTTCAACCAAATCAACCACATGTCGCTCCCACATTTTTGCCCTATATCCTTTAACTTCAAAGAGAGATATGTCACTTTGAATTGCAGTATAGGCACCTGCTAATTTTGAATTAATGGCTAGTTTGGAAGCCACTGTTGGACACAACAAACCTTTCCAAGAGTTGGACTTCTCCCTCAAATCAAAGAATCTTTTCATGAGCATTTCCCTAATACTTTCAAGACACTGAATGAGAGTTTGAGACCTGGCTTCTTTCAAAACTCTATTATACGACTCACAAATGTTGTTGGTCAGAATGTCACTCCTAGGTGCAGTCTGGAAATGTGATCGGGACCACTCCGAAGCTTGTTTATCAACCAACCAATCATACGCATCAACATCTTCATCCTTTATTCTCATCATAACTTCCTCGAACTGAGACACTGTTGTTGCTTTAGCAGCCTCCCATAACATGTCTTTTAGAGCTTTTCCTGAAAAACCAGCATGTTTGAAGTTTCCTTCTAAATGTCTTACACAAAATCGATGCATTGCACGTGGAATCACATCCTCAAACGCGGGTAACAAACCCTTTTGCTTATCTGTGAGTTAGTAAAGCACCAAAATATGCATGTTTAGACAACTTAAGAATATACACAATTGCTTCTTTATTTATATAAAAAAGTGTATTAATAGAAGTATACCTGACATAAAGGTAAACCTTGGTTCTATGGAATCATTTAGCTCTAAATCAAATGTTAGAAGGTCCAAAAACCATGTCCAAGATTCCTTGTTCTCTGACTCGACTATGGCATAAGCAAATGGAAAAATATTCTCATTACTATCTACACCATTCGCAACTAGCATTGTTCCTCCAAACTTCCCCGTAAGGTGGCAATCATCTAATCCTATAATCTGCCTACATCTTTTGAACCCTTCACGACAAGCTTCCCAACAAAAGTACACCCGCTGAAATCTTTGTATACTACCATCGTCAATGTATTTAACTCGACAAGAGGTCCCCGGATTAGTCATCATGATTTCCTTATAGTACCTCCACCATATCTGGTACTCCTCCTCTGCAAGTCCATGATCATCTGCGTACCCCACTCTAAGTGCCCTCCAAGCTTGTTTGTATGATAGGCGACACTTCTCTTGTGTTTGTACACGCATTTGAAAGTCTTTCACCTTCCAGTTTGGATGATATTTCATTTCTCCCTTCCATCTCTTTGCAAGAATTGTGGAGTTCACCATCTTGTTGTAATATTTCCAACTGCATCCTTCGTGAACGTCATTGAAGTAAGTAATTCTAAAGTCAGTGGTCCCCAACAGCTTGTGACACCTCAACTTCCAAGGGCACCGACTCTTATGCTGATTGCTAGCACTTTCCTCTTCATGTTTTGTCTTTTTCCTCCTCTTCTCACCCCCATCAACACAACTTACATACACTCTATTGCTATCATTCTTATCGAATTTTAAACACTTCCCATTATTAAATGCATAATTACTTACTGCCTCCTTGAACAACTTCTTACTAGGAAATAATAAACCCACCGAGAAGTGTGGATTCAAGTCCCTTTTTCCTTTGAAAACAGGAAGTTGCACCTTTTCATTCCCGTCACCTTCTGACAAACTATCTTCATCACTCCCAAGGAATCGTAGTTCTTCAGTAGCTCTCTCATTCTCTAGTAACTCATTTGATACTATGTTGCCTAGCCCACCAAATTCTACCGTGTTGTCCACATTAGAATCAAATAGGAAATCATCTTGTTCACCATGTGTCTCGTCAAAGTCCTCGGCAACCTCTGATTCTGATTCAAAATCTTCATCATCTAGGTCTTCATCATCATCGTACTCATCATCAGTGGCATGTGTGTCATTTTCATCCCCTGTTACCTTTGTTGTAGCCACCCAAATTTCAACTACAGCCGGCAACTTATCTATTGCAACCAACTCCCATGCATCACTATCACTGACTAACTCCTTTAATCCCGAGTCACTTTGAAAGTATATACTAATATCTTCCCAATTCTTAAAACCAAATTCCTCAATATGATGCTTTAATAGCATCATACCCCACTCATCAAACAAAGCATTATGAACAACTTTTACAAAGCCGCCATCGTAACTCGGAAGCGCACCTCCGATACAAACAGATCCACCAAGCCTAAATTTCAGTTCAAATGTTCCTACAAAAAGAAATCCAAATCAGTGCACTAGAGTATCATATCAAAATCCAATTAAAGTATAATTGAATCAAAGTATAAAGAGGATACTTTTGTTTAAAAAATCAGCTTTATTCTCGCTGGTTCAGATGAAGAGTTTTTTTTCTGGTAAACAGAAAAAGAATTTTTTTCGGCTCCATC